CTCCCTGCATCAAGATGGACCACTTTAGTTCTTAAGAGACACATTTTGCTGCAAAATCCATACAGACTGATAAGATAGATATTCTGCATTCTCAAATCACCTGTTATTAACCATGTCCTTACATTTCTTGTTACAGGTATGTAGAATTTGAAAAACAGAAACAAAATGGCTGGGACAATAATTACCCTAACATCTATTGGGGTTTTCTTTGCCAAGAAGGCAATTTTGTCCCAACCAGTGTAATGTAGCTACAGTGTAGAAATGCTGGATCTCTTCAACAGGTCCATTGGAATTATAAGTGGCTTCAGGACATAGAAGATAGGCGCATGGAAGCCTGACAACAGACACACCTCTAACCCTAATCCAACTAATAATCCTCAATACACTGAAATTCACATCGGGATCAGAAAATGGTCCACATTCATATAATGCAAGTTGTTTCTTATCCTTGTAAAATATTATGGATCTTATGACGCAGGATTTAGTCCATGAACCACAAGGCTCTACAGTTGGTAGAAGAGTGGGTCTAAAATAACACGAAACGTAAGATGTATGCCCTCTGACAGACACTTTAACTTTCACAACAGTAATAAGTTAAAAAAATAAGTTCACACATTTCCTCTTCCTCTTCAGTTTCCTTTGTGGTTTCATCTGAAACATAAATCCTCTAAGGCAGAGACTTTTCCTCTTATTCTGTTAGGATACAAGCCAGATTAGGTGCCATGGACATGGATGTCACTAAATAGATGAGCAAACTAGCATTCCACTGCCTAATTACCAGTAAACTGCCACTTACGTACTGTACATACATACATAATCTGCACAGTAGCTTTCACTGAGACTTTAGCCCATCCTAAAAGCCATGAACAGACACATTAGTGAACTCATATCTAAACGATCTTGACCCAGCTGCCATTCCCAAATTGTTACCCTTTCCACCATTCCTGTGCTACACTGGACACAAAAACAGGAAGATGCTACAGCAGTTGTTGGAGGATGGTCCAGTTTAGGATTTGACACAACTCAAAGAGATGGAATTCAGGCAGTAGTTGCACTTCCCAAAATTAAAACTCACCCATCCCTACAGCTTAGTAGTTGTGCTAGTATGCCACAATGTGTGATTTTTTTTTGTTTCTATTGTGACAAAATATCTGAAAGACATTTACAACCCAATCCTATGACCATTTTCTTGGAACAAAGTCCCATCAACCACCATTGGGCTTTCTGTGCACAGAGCTGTAGCCTCTATTACAAACCTATACTGTATATAGGTTCCTATAAATATGATTTTTCATGAAATATCCTGACAATTTTAGCTCTCGGGATTCCCAAGAAGAATGAACTAGTGAACAAGCAGTAAGTTTCTAGTGTAGATATGCTCTTAAAAATAAGGAGGGATACTATTACGTCCACCTGGCCTGAGACAGCCGTATTACGTATACATTTGTTATGAAAAATGACTTGAAGCAATATAGAATATAAAGCAAAAGCAAAGTGTGCTGCTTATATACCACCCCACAGTGCTTAAAGCTCTCATTGGGATGTTTACAATTTAATTATGCAAGCTAAACACTGCCTATTCCAAGTGAGGCAGGTACTCAATTTACCAACCTGGGAAAGGTGGAAGGTTGAGCCAACCTCAAGCTGTATACCTGACCCCGTTGGAATTGAACTCAGGTTGTGAGCAGAGTCTTTGCTGAAGTACTGCAGAATAACCACAGTGATTTTGTGCCTCACAACAACAGATTGCAAAAAGCTAAGCAACTTTGGGTTATTTCTAAAAGAAAGATGAATGTAAATAACAATGCTGTACAATTCCAGACTGAAATAAAATATAAGCTAGGAGAATGAAATCTATAGGATAAGTGCCATATAAGTCAAGTGTTAAAACTGTTTTACATTCCCTGGTTAAATAAATATGAACTGAAAATACATTAAATCACAATGGGGAAAATCCCTAATGTATACAATCCCCAGAGAGCATGCAAAGAATATACTAGTGATGAAAACTTTAGAAGCAATGAAATGCTATTTACAAGATTATTGGAAATTACAGTTGTATGCCAGGCAACTTATTCAAGCAATTAAATTACTGCTTTAAGATTCAAATTATTGACTACTCACATTAAAAGCACTATCAACAAAGAAACTGACCACTGAGAATTTTCAGTCTTGTGGAATGTGCCAAAAAAAATCTCAGCAAAGAAAGTGAAGATACTATCCTATATCAGTCCCTATAATTTGGAGAGAGACCATTAGCAGTTATATTCTGTTATAGCCTTGTTGTGGTGGGAGACTGTGCTAGTCTTCAATAAAACAATGATCAGGGCATTTAAAGAGGAGAGATTGTTTGAAAAAAATACTGTTGAGCTCAAAGAGAAAATGTAAACACAACTTTTCTTTGATTCCTCAGCACTATTCCTAAAATAACAATGCCTAGCTTAACCCTCCCCTCCTTACCTGCTGGAGAAGCTCCTTCAAATCTGGCTAATCTCTAGAGCCCCACAAAAGAGTTTTCATAGACAGAGTAGGAGATGTTCTGTATAATAATACAAACACTGATTTTGAGCTGCTCTATGATTAGAAAGTTTTAGGGACTATGTGATCATACACCTTAAATCCTGTCATCTCTGCACATCTACAGCGAACGCCAGTATTCACATATAGGCACATATTATCAACAATTATCAGAAAAACATATATGCTCTCTGCCTATTCCTATACTTTTTGGTAATTTAGATATGAATTGCCAATACACATTGGGAAGTTAAGATCAGACTCTCCACCAACATCCATGTAGCCACAGAAATGTAGAAGAGGCAGCTGTGAACAAGGGAGAAAGTAAAGGGAGGGGAACTTCAGCTTTGCATGGCCCACTCTGTTGTCTGCAACTGTATTTAAAATTTACAAAATCAGCACTTAAATTTATCCAGCATCTCTTAACAATAAAGGCATGTGTAATCTGTGTTGTGAACTCTTGGTTCCAATCATTTGTTTAAGAATAGATTATATATCACCTTGCAGATCAAATCAAGATCTGCCTAGTTCATCACACTTTTCAAGAGCCAAGCATCCAGTAAGTACCAAGTGGCTAATCAAAAATTAAACAGCCAGTGTTGGGCAGCAACCTAACTTCTGCCCGTAAAAACAAAACAAGATGGAATCTATTCCATTCCACCAAGGACTCTTCAACCTGCCAGCTCTGCTCTGATTCATCTTTGTAGTGAAGTAGTGAACCAGAAAGTAAACGGAGTAAATATAAGGGCACAGGTTTTGTTTCCTTTTTTAAAAAGCATCCACTAAACATGATGCAGACTGAAAAGAACAACAGGTGATCATTCAAAGTCCTCTTCGGGTTTTTTTTTTTTCCTGTGAAGCAGACAAAAATTAGAAAGAACTAAGAGCCTATCCTTACAGGGAGCCAAGAATGACAACAACAACAACAGACCAAAGAACCAAAGAAGAAAGGGGGAGGTAGGATCTATACAACGGCTTCTCATGCAAGAAAGTCCTGTTAGGGAAAAAGCCAAGAGGATGCATAGCAACTGGGGGAACCACTTCCCACAAGGAAGTTTAGGAAGGACCCTCCTAAAAGAGATGGTGGGAACCATGATGGGAACGTCACCGGCAGAATAATGGGCACAGAAAGCAGGGAACCTCAAAAAAAAAACCCCTCAAAAGTGACTTTTCCACTCCATTTGCCCCTTTCTATCCCTTTCTTTTAAGGCAGAGATAGGGGCTGTTCACCAGATTACCAAGGGTCAGGCTCGAACTTGCAAGACAGGCATTCAGGTAAGGTCTTTCTGAGAGACCCCTGGGGAAATCCGTCTTTTCATCTTCTTTCCCCATTAAAACAGAAGTCTCATGCAACAACAAGAAAAATAGGATTTACAGTACTGACACTCTCCTTCCTTTCTTCCCTTCCTCTCCTCAGACCCGCACCTGAATTCTGCTGCCTGCCTCTCGGGACAGAGATCCGGAGCCTTTTTGTTTTTTTGTCTTGGGGGTGGGTAGGTGGGCGTTGGACTCAATGGCCTTTCCACCTCTCTTATTCTAGAACTGTATACACTTTGTGGCGAGGACAGAAAATGCTCCACAGAGCCTTCCCCTTCCCTCCCCCTTTTCCCATCTCGGGAAAGGAAGAGTAAGAACGAGGAGGAGCCCCAAAGACAACTGGGGGGGGAGGTGGGAAAGAGGGGGGGAGAGAAAGGGATGCACACCTCCCGCCCCCTCCTCTCTCCCCCCCTCCTCAATACACCCCCAA